TGCGGGGCAAAGTTATTGGCCTATCGGCGCAGGGATATTGGGAAAGGAAGCGGCCAGGGAAGGGAGGGAGACATGAGGGAGGAAAGGTGAAAAGGTTCTTCGACATCAGATCGATGTTTTAACTCTTCACGCCATTTCGAAAAAACAAAGACAATGACGGCGCCGTCCTTGCAACCGCTTTATTTTCCCGGCCGGACTGCACTTCCCTTCCCGAAATAGTCTCGTCATTCATATCAGGAACGCTAACGACTCAGCAAGTGCCACGGGCCTCGCCGCGAAAGCTGATAAGGCGCGAACCCGCCCTGGAGCTCCGACAGGCTGTCCCGAGATCCCGAGCCAAGGGGTCGACGCCGCGCCGCTCCCGTGCCGCTCCAGCCGATCGCGCCTTCGTATCGCCCGACGTCGCTTCTTGTTTGTAAGCTCACTGCCCGGTTTTCGCTTTGGTTGTTTATGCTTTGCGGTGTTGTCGCAAGACGGAATTTTTAAACTGAATTTTGCGAAAAGGATATCCTTATGTGAGGGTTTGGCGCTTATTGCGGCCCGTTCCTAGATTGAGTGCGGATTAGATTGACTGCGGGTAGGTTACGCCGTTCTTTGGACCTGGACTTTGATTATCTAACCGATCAAGAAAATTGCCAAAATGTGTCGATGAAGCCTCTACATTTAACGTCCGATCGAAAAGTATGATTCGCCAATGCCATTCCCCTAAATTCCACAGACTTAAACAGTTTCCCATAAATTGGCCTTTTTTATGTCTGAAATTGGACAGCGACCCAAGATACTTTCGATGATACTGACTCACTGCAAATCAAGGCAATCGTTGTTTTTTCTTCTCGCGCCGCGGAGTTTGGACATCTGTTGCCAATTATATTTCCGGACAGACTGGTTTTGCTCTGCGTTTACTAGGAATTGTATCACCCCAAAAAAAGAAGAAATAGCATTGACATTTAAATATTGCAACTCAACAACGGGTTTTCATGTACTCTGATGTTACTAAAATTATTCAGAGTATTGCATAATGGTTATGGGTGCGTCCGTACAAGTGCACCCGTATGTACAAACAAATTGTCACATGTAGAGCACGTCATCTTTCGCCTTAATAATATAATGATAATGATGATAATGATAGTAATAATATATAATGATAATGATAATGATAATGTATAATAATAATAATGATAATAATAATGTATAATAATAATGATAGTTATGAAAATAATGATAATAATAATAATAATGTATAGTAATAATGATAATGATAATAATGATACTAATGATAATTATGATTATCCGAGCAGTTTGTCATTAAAAAATCCTCATGAACAGAAGTGAACAAAGACGCGCGGGAGAGTTCCTCGCCGCGTAGGCCGCGCTGAAGTAACTTTCTAATGGGATTAAATCTCACAGCTTAGGGTTAAAGAGGCCTGTGTAATCGGGACGAGATCAGTGCCTTTGTCTGCCTGTCCAGCACCACTTAGGCCGGAGAAGAAGCAGGGAAAATATGCGTTACTGCACCGTACCACTTGAGCCTAAAAGGGTAATGAGATAACATACCGCACAGTACTGTTCATCATTACTTGGGGTTTAGTGTAGTAGGTATATTTAAAGAGGGAATTCTGTCATTAGATATTTTTGTAAAGATTGAAGAATGAATACTAAGAGTGTATAGTTATTTCACAATCGCGTCTATTATGGTGTAGTTATAGTGTCACCATCATGGGTCTTATAAAAATAAAAGATTAAAGCGGCGAAAAAAATGTATTTAAGAATAATTACCTTATGGTTATCCAAACACCTCATGAGATTTTATGAGTAGTATTGTGGTGTTGGGTTTCACTGTTGCGTAATGATTTTTTTTCGAGATAGCGAGGAGAAAAGATATCCCATTTCTTCGATAAATGTTAATGAAAATCTACGATAGCAAAGTAAATACCCTGAGACATGCAGTGACACGGTTTTATTTCCGGAGGGTGTAAATTGTGGTATTTTGGTTAGGTTGTAGTGGTAGGTTTGGTGCTATAATTAGTGTCAAGAAATGCACATGAGGCACCGGAACACAGTGTTTTGGAAATCAGAAATGTACCATTATAAATGCATGGTTAGGTATTCTAATCGACACTAATTAGAAAAAATATAAATACATGATTATAAATGCAAAAATAATTAGAGGGGCACTTAATAACTTCGTTTTGGCAATTGGATTTTTAATGAATGACACACAGCAAGGTCTTTCCAATTCTGGAATAGCTGTTGGTAAAGATTTGTCTTGACCAGAAAAAAAAATTAATTGTGCTTTAAATGCAGTCTGTAACATTTTACAATCGATTTCTTGTGCAGATGTAATATTTCTTTATTTTTCTAATTTGAGGTAGTTTTTCTTTATCAGTGATGGGTACTTTTTAAATGATTTCCATTTTAGTCGCGCATCGCATCGAAATTACGCCAAACAAGTCTTGGGACTTGACTACCCGCATTTCACACTGTCCGGTCCGGTCTTCTGGTTTAAGTCAGATTTTGTTTGTGTTTGTTGTTACGTTTAAGCAAACAAGAGATAGGCGTATAGAGTGAGAGAGAGGGAGAAGGAGAGGGAGAGGAGTGGGAGAGAAAGAAGAGGGGAAGAAGGAGTGATGATATAGAGTAGGCCTTACCAGAGAAGGAGAAGGGAGAGGGAGAAGAAAAGGGAAATTAAGAGGGAGAAAAATCGTGAGCATTGTTAAAAAACGGAAAATAAAAAAAGACAGAAACAGAAAAAGAGAAAGTGAAGGGGAGATAAAACGTAAAATAGAATAGAATGCGAGGAAACAAAACCCCCTTTACTCCACGAGACCTTGCCTGCCGGGGCGGGAACAAGGCCCTATAAGGTACCACTTCCTCGCAAGCGGGTCGTTGCGGTCGGTGCAAGAACTTGATTTCGTGTTTGCAGAGGATTTTTCTCTCCTCGTTGGGTGCGTCGTTTGTGTGTATGCTTGTGTGTGTGTGTGCTTGTGTGTATATGCTTGTGTGTGTGTGTGTTTGCTTGTGTATGTATGCTTGTGTGTGTTGCTTGAGTGTATATGCTTGTGTGTGCTTGTGTGGTATGTGTGTGTGTGTGTGTGTATGTGAGTGTGGTATGTGTGATGTATGTGTGTGTGTGCGTGCGTTTGCTTTTGATTTTACTTCAGCGTGGGCGCTTTGATTACGGGTATACGTGGGCGTCTATGTGCAACCGTAGGTTTTATTTTGTTGCGTTTTGGGCGTGGGGTCCGAGTGAGAATTTCCCATGCAGGTGTCGTGTGATTTTGCTCGATTATTGCTGCATCACTGTACACTGGCGGGAGGTCTTGAGACAACAGATCAAGCATGCAATGTTCTTCTTTTATTTTCCTCAGCGTTCAAGACAGCAATCCAAAAGAGAAAAAGAGAGAGTCACTGTTTCCTTGGGAGGAAAGGTACCTCGAAACTGGAGGGATTTTGAAGAAGCTGTCGTACCCGGGACCTGTT